TATTTGTTTTGTTCTTACTTTTACTTAAGTGAGAAAACTGTGTAAAAGCATTGCAAACAAAAGGCCTACCTTGAAGACATTTTGCATCTTTTATGCCTGAGTTTTACACTAAATCATTTTATGATGAGAAGGAACAGAGTTATAATCTCTTTGGTCAGACAATGTGCAGTCTCTTGTGATGCAGTGAGATGTGCCAACATGTTGGTGAGGGTTGAGGATGACTGTCAGCTACCACTACAGCAAACCTTCACTCAGTACCGTCAACCTGACTCTTCTTGTTGTCCTGGTCAAGTTGAACTGGGGCTGACTCCAAAATCTAAAAACAACTTACCGAGAGTTTGATGACGATCCATCCAGTGCTTTGTGAGACTTTTTGTTGCAGTCGCACACACACCAAAACATTGTCGCCTTTTGCCTTCAGGGTGGGCAACAGTCAGACTTTACAAGCCTCATTCATGCAATCATACAAAATACAGTAGTCCCTCGTTTATCACGGGGGATCCCGATATGTATATATATATACATACAGATATATATTTATTTATAATAAATATACAGATATAAAATGTTTTAAACCCTTCCCACACTCTTGCAATATTCTAAACAACGTTTCTAAACTCTAAACGCTCTAAAAGTCACAGAATGTCATGATTTCAGCTCTTTGCCACCTGCAAGTGCTCTTGGCCACGCCCACTTCTTTGCTCTGCATGGTGAACAGCTGATCAGCTGCAGCAGGAAGTTTATCCTGCAGTGTGTGCTGCACGAGTGTTCAGGAGGAAGTTTTTTTCTGCAGCTCTGAGCTGCACAAATGTGCACCAGGTGCTAAATAATTTAAAATAATTTATTTTACATAAAAACATCCGTCAGTCAGCCAGTTGTGTGTCATGTCCACTCTTATTTTGAAAAACTGCAATAGAGCGAGTCTGCGATAAACGAACAACGAAGTAGCAGGGACTAGTGTACTTTGAAATGCAAAGAAATATAATTGTACCAGGCCCTCTGTCCCACACAGTTTGTTCTGGTGGTTCAGTGGATGCACCACAGATGTGACACATTTAATGTTGTCGTTGTTACACACGTTGTTATTTAAATCACATAAAGCTCATTTTGTGAAAAAAATGAAGATTCTTGCAGGTACAATCAATGTTAATAAAAGTCTAAGAAGTTTCAGCTCTGAGTCAACGTACCTGTGAAGTCTCCTGGTTATCTCCACCTTCAACTGGTTGATATTTTACTGACAACACTGAAGAACCTAGTTCAAGCAAATAATTTGCACAGCTGTGATTTATCCTTCAACATTTTCCTTCAAATCATTTTTTTCTGTGCACACTTAATTGACTTGTAAATAACATGTATAAGTATTAATGTTTTGTATTAGTGTCTGTGTTTGTACAAAAACATTTTGGGTGGGTATTTGTGGAAACCTAACGGTTCAAATACTTTGAATATGTCAGACTACTAAAACTGTTGATGTGTTGTGTCTGCAGCTCAGAGATGGCCCTCACTCAGGTGTCTTCTGTAAAATGTGCTGATGGCTTCCAGAAGGTTTTCGAGCACGACAGGTGAGATGTTTCTGTTGCCCGACCTTTGACCTTTGGCTTCAGACAGACAGGCTCATGTGTTCTCCTCCGCAGCACCGAGCTGAAGTGTAAGATGAAGTTTGCCGTCTTTCTACCTCCCAAGGCTGAGACGGACAAATGTCCGGTCCTGTACTGGCTCTCCGGTGAGTCACCGTGCTGAAGGCTCAGTTCACACGTTTGCTTCCACAGCGTGGTTTCTTTACACGTCACTATTTTAACTGGACGCTCCTCATCAGGTCTGACGTGCACGGAGCAAAACTTCATCACTAAAGCTGGCAGTCAGCTTGCTGCTGCAGAGCACGGCCTCATCGTCGTGGCTCCAGACACCAGTCCACGTATGACCCCCCCCCCCCCACACACACACACACACACACACACGGAGTACAGGAACAGAATTCTCCCTGCTGCTCTTTGATCGACTCGTTGGGCTGTAGAGCCTCCACTCGCAGCTCGTCACTCGTTCTTGTGCTTCAGGTGGCTGCAACATTGAGGGTGAAGATGAGAGCTGGGACTTTGGTACCGGAGCAGGTTTCTATGTTGACGCCACGCAGGACCCCTGGAAAAGCAACTACCGCATGTACTCGTACATCACTGAGGAGGTCCGATGGATCCATGGCATGTTTTTATTCTTACTGCAACTTCAGCCGCTGTCACACTCTTTGTTTTTCCTGTCAGCTCCCTAAACTAGTCAACGCCAACTTCCCCACCGACCCGGACAAAATGTCCATCTGTGGACACTCCATGGGCGGACACGGGGCACTCATCTGTGCCCTGAAGAATCCTGGGAAATACAAGGTACAGTGTTTGATGACAGAATGACTTCCTGCCACGTTTGTTGCGTCATGCTGCAGTTTGTGACTAAAATAAGCAGGAAGTCTTTTGTTTATTCTCGATGTGTCGCGTCGCTGCAGGCCGTGTCTGCGTTCGCCCCCATCTGTAACCCCACCCAGTGTCCGTGGGGTCAGAAAGCCTTCACCGGGTACCTGGGCCCTGACAAGTCCACATGGGAGGTAAAACAAAACCACTTCATGTTTTCCTGAACTGGTAAATGTTGAAGTAAATGGATTTTTCAGACTGTTTTCACTCGTTCCTCAACTCGTCTTGTTTCAGGCGTACGATGCCACCGTGTTGGCAGCTTCTTACTCGGGCCCTCCGCTCGACATCCTCATCGATCAGGGCTGTGACGATCAGTTCCTGTCGGCAGGGCAGCTGCTGCCCGACAACCTGATAAGCGCCTGCTCCAAAAACAAAATCCCTGTCGTCCTTAGACTGAAGCCGGTCAGTTCCTGTCACCGTTATCAAAATAAAACCATACTTTAAAAGCACGTATAATTTAAATCCCTATTTTAAATAATTGTATAAAATGTATTTATATTTTTTTATTTTAGTTTAGGTGGCTTGCTGAAAAAGGCTGTAGCTTGAATGAGTTTTTTAATTTATTAATTACCATTATAAATGTGTGAAGCTTGACATTGACGCTTTGTCAATGTCAATTTATTTACAGGTCCTTCTCAAAAAATGAGCATATTGTGATAAAGGTCATTATTTTCCATGATGTAATGATAAAAATGAAACTTTCATATATTTCAGATTCATTGCACACCAACTGAAATATTTCAGGTCTTTAATTGTTTTAATACTGATGATTATGGCATACAGCTCATGAAAACCCAAAATGCCTGTCCCAAAAAATTAGCATATTTCATCCCACCAATGAAAGACAAGTGTTTTTAATACAAAAAACACCAACCTTCAAATAATCATGTTCAGTTATGCACTCAATACTTGGTCGGGAATCCTTTTGCATGAATGACTGCTTCAATGCGGCGTGGCATGGAGGCAATCAGCCTGTGGCACTGCTGAGGTGTTATGGAGGCCCAGGATGCTTCGATAGCGGCCTTAAGCTCATTCAGAGTGTTTGGTCTTGCGTCTCTCAACTTTCTCTTCACAATATCCCACAGGTTCTCTATGGGGTTCAGGTCAGGAGAGTTGGCAGGCCAATTGAGCACAGTAATACCATGGTCAGTAAACCATTTACCAGTGGTTTTGGCACTGTGAGCAGGTGCCAGGTCGTGCTGAAAAATGAAATCTTCATCGGTCTAAATTCTCGGGTAAACTGTTCCACAGTTTTGGAGCAGCTACCACAAAAGCCAGATCACCTCTGAATTTCAGTTTGGATCAGGGGACATCTAAGAGGAACTGGTTGGTAGACCCGAGTGCTCGTACTGGAGTGTAAGATGTTAATAAGATCACATACATTGAGGAAATAAGTATTTAAACACTCTGCAACTTTACAAGTTCTCCCACTTAGAAATCATGGAGGGTCTGAAATTTTCATCTTATGTGCATGTCCTCTGTGAGAGACATGATCTAAAAATAAAAATAACCTAGAAATCACAATGTATGATTTTTAAAATAATTTTTGTGTGTTACTGCTGCAAATCAGTATTTGAACACCTGTGAACATCAATGTTAATATTTGGTACAGTATCTTTGTTTGCAGTGACAGAGGTCAAAGGTTTCCTGTAGTTCTTCACCAGGTTCACTGCAGCAGAGATTTTGGTCCATTCCTCCAGATCTTCTCTAGATCAGCAGGTTTCTGGGCTGTCACTGAGAAACAGAGTTTGAGCTCCCTCCAAAGATTTTCTATAGGGTTTAGGTCTGGAGACTGGCTGGGCCACTCCAGAACCTTGATCTGTTCTTACGGAGCCACTCCTTGGTTCTCCTGGCTGTGTGCTTCAGGCCATTTTCTTGTTGGAAGACTCAGCCACGACCCATCTTCAATGTTCTAACTGAGGGAAGGAGGTTGTTCCCCAACATCTCTCAATACACGGCCCCGGTCATCCTCTCCTTAATACAGTGCAGTCGTCCTGTCCCATGTGCAGAAAAACACCCAAAGCATGATGCTTCCACCCCCATGCTTCACAGTAGGGATGGTGTTTTTGAGATGGTACTCATCATTCTTCGTCCTCCAAACACGACGAGTGGAATTAAGACCAAAAAGTTCTATTTTGGTCTCATGTGAACACAGAACTTTCTCCCATGACTCCTCTGGATCATCCAGATGGTCATGGTCAAACTTAAGACGGGTTTGGACGTGCGCTGATTTAAGCTGGGGAACCTTCTGTGCCGTTCATGATTTTAAACTATGACGTCTTAGGGTGCATTCACACCAGCCCTGTTTAGTCCGCTTTAATCAAACTCTAGCTCGTTTTCCTAGAAAGTCCGGTTCGTTTGGGGAGGTGTGATTGAGCCATCGATCTCTGTCACAGAACAAAAAGGCGAACTCTGGCCCGGGCTAAAACCTAGGTCTCGGTCCGGTAGAAGAGAACTCCAGCGCGGTTCGAGTACAGTGTGAATGCAAACAGACCGAGCCCCGCTCCGCAAGACAAACAAACACACATTTCTCTGACCTTATATGGAGCCGTCTGCTGCCTTGTGTGAAAAACAATATTCTCCATGGTCTTCTGTCTCATCTTCTGCTCATGCTGAGTCCATTTTTGAAAAATGACAAAATATAACCCCTAAAACTGCTAAAACTTGATGCCACTTCGTTTTTATTTTCATTTACAGAAGAAGGAGAAGAAGTGTCTTCAGAGGTTTTTGTGTCGTTTCTTTCAGTAGTTCTTGGTGCAGCGCCCCCACAGGCGAGCGGGGGAACAGGTTGGTTCAACAGGTTGGCTCGACTGCACAGTGCAGTGTGAATGCAAACGCACCAACTCAAATGTAACAAAAGGTCATGAATATTGGTCCCGAACCGAACCGAGTCTACCGGACTATCCATCCATCCATCCATCCATTTTCTTTACCCGCTTATTCCATTTTGGGTCACGGGGGTCGCTGGTGCCCATGTCCTCTACCGGACTATCTGGTGTAAAAACGACCTTAGTGTATTACCCACAGTAACCATGGAAACAGTGGTGCCAGCTCTCTTCAGGTCATGGACCAGCTCCTCCGTGTAGTTCTGGGCTGATTCCTCACCTTTCTTGGGATCATTGATACGCCACAAGGTGACATCTTGCATGGAGCCCCAGTCCGAGGGAGATTGACAGTCATGTTTAGCTTCTTCCATTTTCTAATAATTGATCCAACAGTTGATCTTTTTTCACCAAGCTGCTTGGCAATTGCCCCGTAGCCCTTTCCAGCCTTGTAGAGGTCTACAATTTAGTCTCTGGTGTCTTTGGACAGCTTTTTGGTCTTAGCCGTGTTAGTAGTTGGAGTCTTACTGATTGTGTGGGGTGGACAGGTGTCTTTATGCAGCTAACCACCTCAAACAGCTGCTTCTAATTTAGAATAATAAGTGGAGTGGAGGTGGTCGTTATAGAGGAGGACTAACAGGTCTTTGAGGACCAGAACTGTTGCTGATTGGCAGGTGGTCAAATACTTATTTGCAGCAGTAACACACAAATAAATTATTTAAAAATCAAACATTGTGATTTCTGGATTTTTCTTTAGATTATGTCGCTCACAGAGGACATGCACCTAAGATGAAAATTTCAGACCCCTCCATGATTTCTAAGTGGGAGAACTTGCAAAGTCGCAGCGTGTTCAAATACTTGTTTTCCTCACTGTAAATAAGAAGGGCCAGACCTTTTAAGACTTTAAAAATGAGCAATAAAATCAATCATAAAACCTTGTTGTTGTTGTTGTTTGCTCCTGTAGGGCTACGACCACAGCTACTTCTTCATCTACTCCTTTCTGAGCGAGCACCTGAAACACCACGCCAAGTACCTGAACGCCTGAGCTGCTGCTCTCCTGACGTTTCATCTACTTCATGCTGGACGGAGAACAAACCGTCAGAAACTGAATCAGTGAAATCACTAAGGTTCAGTATGAAGAGCAGAAAAACAGGCAGCACTTCTCATTAGAATCTATTTCTGAACAAGTTATTCTAAAGTTTTGCTGAAGCAGAGAGCCGTCAGTGAAGAAAGTTGATGTTTGAGAATAAAAACCTAACAGTTCTTTCTTTTGGTCTTTGTTATGGTGCTTCAACACTTTAGTTCTTGGACATGGTTCTGTTCGGTGTGCCAGTGAGGCCCTGGTCCATCTGGGACTTTTAAAATATATTTGTCAGACGTTAGACCACTCGGGTGTAAGTGATGGGATTTTCAGCTGCTAGAGGTGCTGGTCATAAAATTGAAATATTACTTAAGTCCAATAAAAAAAAGATTTTTAGAAATGTTAGCCAACTGAAAAGTATGAACGTGAAAAGTAGGAGCAAGTACAGCATCAGTACTTAGTTGTTGCTCCTTTTACCTGGATTACTGCAGCAATGCGTCGTGGCATGGAGTGGATCAGTATGTGTCTCTGCTCAGGTGTTCTGAGAGCCCAGCTTGCTCTGATCGTGGCCTTCAGCTCTTCTGAATTGTTGGGTCTGGTGAATCACATCTTCCTCTTCACAATAACCCATAGATTTTCTATGAGTTTAAGGCAGTGCTTTTCAATTATTTTCTGTTACGCCCCCACTAGGAACAAGTAAACATCACCCCCCCCCCCCCCAGCTGTGACTGTAAATAGTATTATTTGTCTATAGAATAGTTATAAGTACTCCTCTGCATAACATTGTGTCCTTATTAATATTAAAGAAAAAAATATAGATCAACTTACAACAAAGAATAACTTTATTAACATTGTTTTTATTCTGTAACAAACAAATTAAAGTGTATCAATTTGCCTGAAAAAAAAAATCCTTATTTAAAGTAAACATTTTTGACCATTTGATACTGAAATATAAAATAATTAATTAATTGAATTCAGTTTATTTATGTAGCGCCAAATCACAACAAAGTTGTCTCAGGGCACTTTACAGGAACATTCACATAAATAAAAGCCAATTAGTAAAGTTCTCTATCTAATTCCCGTTGAGTTTTTGAACAGCGGCCAGCACTCTCCCCCACCGGTCCTGTCTGAGATTCCTGCGTTCCTTCTGCGTGACCCTGGCCTTTCTCCATGGAGGAAACGTCGCAGACGTCGTGGGAAGCGTGCAGGGATTTTGGTGAAACTGAGGCAAAGAGTGGATTATTCTATCAGGACTCGCTCTGGATCTGATCATCTCCTCTCTGACCCGTGGTGCTCCCGGGGCCCGGCTGCTGGCCAGCTGCCCGCGCGCTCAGTCCATGTGAACACCTGAAGTTGTTTACCTGTGCGCCGCACCAGCAGACCTGGAGGAGCTGTTCTTCATAACCTGCGCCCGCTGGCGCGCACGTCTCCCTCCACGGCTGTGTCTGCGTTGGACCCTATCAGGATGTGTTTAATCAACGCAAGGTCTGTTTCCAACAAGACATTTATCCTCAATGACTTTTTTAAAGATCAGGAGTTGGATTTTCTGTTTGTCACGGAATCTTGGATTTCTCATGGTGAGTCCAGCGCCTTGGTGGAACTACTACCCCCGGACTGTCTGTGTTTCAATGCCCCGCGGCCATCAGGTCGGCGCGGGGGGGGGGGATTATTAACAGTTTTTAAAGCAAACTTGGCCTGTAAACAGTTGTCCATCCCGGTGTCCCGCGCCAGCTTTGAGCTAAGCGTCTTTGAACTCGGACACTGTCCTACGGTTCTGTGCGCACTCGTCTACCGCCCCCCTCGATCCAAGGACTTCATAAATGAATTCTCTGACTTTTTGGCTGATATCACACAGAGATATACTCACTTTTTGTTTATTGGTGACTTTAATTTGCATGTGTGTTGTCAGGAGAAGCCCTTAGTGAAGGACTTTCTAGATTTATTGGACTCTTTTAATTTAGCTCAGCAGGTGAGCGGCCCCACCCAAGAGCACGGTCACACGCTGGACCTCGTTTTAACACGCGATGTCTCTGTTTCTAATTTGAAAATCGGTGACAATGTTTTTTCAGATCACATGCCTGTATTGTTTGACTTCACCCCCCCTTGTCCTACTGCTAAGACGTGCGTTTCTGCACGTACAACGCGTTCCATTAACCATTTCACTGCTGCTCGTTTTAATGAAGGTTTTAACTCTGAGAGGATCGAACAGTTCACAGTGTCTTACCACTGAGGAGCTAACCTCTCAGTTCATCTCTGCCTGTTTAGATGTTCTGGACCGTGTTGCTCCCCTTAAAACCAGAAAAACGAAACTTAAATCAGAGCCTTGGCTGAATGACGTCACGCGAGCCGTTAGGCAGCAGTGTCGCAGAGCTGAACGAAGGTGGAGGAAGGACAGGCTCCAGGTTTCTTTTCAAATGTTAAGGGAGAGTTGGCGTCACTATCAGAAAACTGTTAACGCTGCCAAATGTAAATTCTTCTCTGATTTAATTGTCTCCAACTCCCACAACCCCCGAGTTCTTTTCTCCACCCTGAACTCAGTTCTACACCTCAGTGAGCCTTCACCTCTGGAAGCCTCAACTGAGCTGTGTGAAAACTTCCTCCATTTCTTTTTAGAAAAAGTGGCAAACACCCGGGCACTCATTTCTCCGCCAGCTCATGATCTGTCCATCCCATCTCAGTGTGTGGCTGTGTTTGACCACTTTGAGCCCATCTCTCTGTCCTCTCTGGAGCAGGTAATGTGCAGCATGAAGCCATCTGGTTCCCCCTTTGATGTGGTCCCCCCTCGACTACTAAAGGAAGTTTTTCCTACCCTGGGTCCTTTTATTCTCGCTATTTTGAATAGCAGTTTATCCTCAGGTGTGGTGCCAAAAACTTTTAAACATGCTGCTGTCCAGCCCCTCCTGAAAAAAACCTAACCTTGACCCCTCAGTCATGTCCAACTTCCGGCCTGTCTCCAGACTCCCATTCACCTCTAAACTACTGGAAAAAATTGTGGAGTCTCAGTTGAAACAGTTTTTGGGGGATCACGCTATCCTAGAGTTATTCCAATCTGGCTTCAAATCTCTCCATAGCACTGAAACTGCTCTACTGAAGGTTTTTAATGACATTTTCATATCCACAGACGCAGGTGATTCTGTGCTGCTTGTCCTATTGGACCTTACATCTGCTTTTGACACCATCGACCACAAGATCCTCATTTCTAGACTGGAGCAGTGGGTGGGCATCACAGGGTCAGCCCTTAAATGGTTTGGGTCCTACCTCTCTGACAGAACCTTCTGTGTCAATATCAAAGATTTTAGTTCGGCATCGACAGCGCTCCAGTGGGGGGTACCACAGGGGTCCATCCTCGGTCCCCTTCTCTTTTCTTTATACCTGCTGCCACTAGGTGCTATTTTCCGCAAACACAACATACCCTTTCATTTCTACGCCGATGATTGCCAAATTTACTTCCCCCTGAGGCACAGAGGCACACGCTCTATTCAGCCTCTTCTTGACTGCCTGGCTGACATCCGGGACTGGATGGCTTTAAACTTCTTAAGCTTCAATGAGAAGAAGTCTGAAGTCATGCTGTTCCATCCCAGTGGCTCACTCATGAACCATGACATTGACCTTTTCTCTCTAGCCCCGCTAGAGAAACAAAAGGTCACTAATCTGGGGGTGATAATGGACCCGTCCTTAAAACTCAACAGTCACGTAAACATGATGGTCAAATCCTGTTTTTTTCAGCTGAGACGGCTGTCTATGCTGAAGCCTATACTCTCCAAAAAGAACCTTGACAGTGATCCACGCCTTCATAACATCTAGGCTTGATTACTGCAATTCACTTCTGTTTGGAATCAGTCAGTCCTCCATTGCTCGTCTACAACTGGTCCAAAATGCTGCAGCCCGATTTTTAACTGGTACAGGCTATAGAGAGCACATCACGCCAGTTTTGGCCTCCCTGCACTGGCTACCCATTCACCTTCGGATCCATTTCAAAATTCTCATGTACGTTTTTAAATCACTGAACAGTTCCGCCCCATCCTATCTCACTGATCTTCTGCAGCCATATGTCCCACCGCGCTCTCTGAGGTCAGCAGACCAGATGCTTCTCTCAATCCCAGAAACCCGTCGTAAGCTCAGAGGTGACAGGGCTTTCTCTGTTGCAGGTCCACGACTGTGGAATTTTTTTTTTTTTTTTTCATTTAGCCTTTATTTATCCAGGTTAGTCTCATTGAGCCACGAGAACTCATTTTCAAGAGAGGAATGAGTTGCCACTGAGTGTCCGGCAGGCTCCCACACTCTCAGTCTTTAAGTCTCGCTTGAAGACCCACCTCTATTCTCTTGCCTTTAACTCGTGATTTGTGTTGGTCCGGTCTGTACTCTACTCTCTTGGCCATTTTAGTTAGCTTCTGCTGGTATTTGTATCTGTATTTTTATTTTATGTTTTCCTGTCCGCTGTGCATGTATGTGTTTTTTTGTACAGCACTTTGGTTGGCCTTGTTGCTGTTTTAAGTGCTTTATAAATAAACTGGTATGGTATGGTAAGGAATCCAGGAGACAAGTTGAATCTTGGCTTTGTTGCAGTCTCCCATCCTGAGCAAGCACAGGGGCAACAGTGGAAAGAAAAACTCCCTTTTAAAAGGAAGAAACCTCCAGCAGAACCAG